AACAGAGAGGGGCAAGATGGTAAATAGAGGCCATGAGTGAGGGGCAAAGTTGGAAAAGGAAAAATGATTTTCGTATTTTGGTTTAAAGGGAGAAGAAATTGGTGGTGGTATTTATAGTGGGCTTCTTTTGAGGTGTTTGGATATGAACAAAGGAGACAGCTGTATGAGGAACACATGCGTCACCATCAATGCGACACGTGGAGGGAGGGGATTGGACTGTGAGTATAGTCAAAAGAAGTTGCCAGGCTGTGAGGGGGAGGAGTATGTGGGACGCGTGACTCTCAAACGCCTAAGGATTCGCGTGGCCGAATCCGACGTGGCGTCGGACGTGGTGGTGAAGGGTGATACCACCCCCTCACTCTCGCGCCCTCTTCTTATATTCTTCGTTTCCTTTACATTTTCTTTTTCTTTTTCAAATGTTTTTGGTGTGTTCAAAAAAGAAATTTACTAAATATATATTATTTTTTAGTAGCAAAAGAACTTTTAGAAATGGATAAATAACAACAAACTAATTGTTTAGAATTTTAGGCCTTTTATTCTTTTAGAACTTTTTACCTTATTTATACACTAAAAGTTGAGTTGTAGCTATGTATATACATCTTCATCAACTAAAACTTAAGGATTGAACTAATAACCCATACACTTGTGGAGGAGAGATCATGAGCCACATGGGCTAATCTCAGTGGTCAAGATTTACGACCAGCTCCCAAGTTGGCATAGTGAACTTAGCACCTTGCAAACAAATCATACTCGATCTCGAGCTCATTAGGAATGAGYTATAACGTCACGCGATTCTATCTACAGTACAGAAGTAATAGACCAACTTAAGAAACAGTTCTATAGTTGACGGGATGGGTAACTACCCACTCATCCATATTAATACATCATTGTTCTACCCAATTAAGTATGTAATTTTGTTTGAAGTTAAACTGCCCAGTTCGAACTTAGACTAACTTGAGCTTTAGAGTGTTCTTCTTATTTTTGCAGATCTTTCTCTCTCCGGCTCGAGCTTCCATAGCTTGTCCGAGTGCGACTCTCGTTGATTCCCGACACGTGACAAAAATCAGCATTAACAATACTAAACACTGATTATATTTGATTGAGTTAACGAAGGTTAAAGAAAATATATTTAGAGACCAAAATTAGGTTATCATTCCCTTTAAATTATAGATTTAATATAAATGAGTCCTCTAAAACTTTTTAGGATTCATAAAAACTTAAAAAACAAATGKAATTTTTTTAATGATCTTAACTTTTAAAATATCTATTCCAGTTCATGAATTTAGAAAATAACAACATTTTAGTTATTGAATTTTTAAATATAATCGATTTAATCATCTCAATCATTGTTCTAATTTTCCTGCATAGTCTTGGTCACCTTATGTTTGGCTCAGCCCACGAACGTAACTTCAATATATAAAAGTTAATATATCAGATTGTTAGAAGGAAATAAATTTTCAAAAAAATTCAGAAACAAAAATAAAATAATTTTAAAATCGCTGGATAATTATAATGTTTTTGGTTTGGATAACTCTGACTATTAGAAAGATTGAAATTCAAATTTTAAAAATATAAACATGAGAGTAGGTGAAATAGGTACAAAAACCTTGATCCTCACTTCTCCGTAAGATTTTAAATGTTGATATCGATGAAATGTCAATATCTCAATTTCATGGAAATATCGATGAAAATATMAATAAAATGTAGATATTAATAGATATTTTTGTAAAAAATAGAAAAATTAAAAATCGTAAAAAATATTTAAATTAACAAATAAACATCATTTGAAAATGAATTAAAAATAATTAATATTAATATTATATATTAATAATAATTTGTTGATATTTTTCGTATTTTATTTTTTTACTCTCGCGAATATGGCGATTCACCTTTCGATATTGATGTCCAAACATGGATGTACGATTAAAATATGGACGGATATTTAAAATCATTATAATTAAAAAAAAGTGCTTTAAAGTAAAAAAGYGGGGACCGGGTGTCCCCTGAAAAGGGCAAAGAGCAG